ATATTATACACAGATTATAATGAATAGTTTTGAAACCCCATTGAGAGATGACTTAACTCTCTAAACAAGTAATAATCTTAAATTATATATTCTCTATGAAAGTAATGGTATATAAATATTTATTATTCGTAATATTTATTAATATGGCATTTTTATTTATATCTCACTATAAATTTGTCAAATTATAGGTTTTAAGTTAATGATTAAAAATATTTGTTCAATATATCCGTCAATATATTAAATATTTAATTATTACAATAATAATTATTTTTATACAAGTTTTTGTAGTTTAAATTGAATAAATTTACACCAAAAACACTATATGTGACAGAATTTTCTTTGCTCTCTAATTACATGTAATCCAATATAACATTTTTGTGTAAAATTTAATGTTTTATAGATTTAATCATATCTTTAAACGAGATTCACAGCAAAAACTAATGACAATTTTTGTATTGTATTGCCAGTCATATGAGAGTTATTATGCAAAAAGTGATTCATGTAATGTATAAGAGCTCATGTATGTAGCAAATAATGGCCAGGAATGAGCGACTTCTGCACAGAATATAATACACAATGCTTTTGATCAATGAATGAATGCATTGAAACCAATGCTCACTAACACAGACACTGGTAAAGAGCAGTCCTTCTCAACCCATCATTTCATTGTCTGTCTGTATCTTACTTTCTATTATATAACTCTCGCATTCACTTAATGTTATCTATTCTCAAATGAATCAAAACAAACAAAGAAGAATAGACTTGAGGACCAGTTTTGATACATTCTATCAATTTTTTTTCAGTCGTTTTCATTTTATGCGATAATTTTGTTTAAGAATTTCAAATGAAATATTCATAAATCTTTCAACAAATACACTGTCAATGTATGGCTCGATCTTTACAATTTGTAGCACAAATAATGACTTTTTGTTGAATTAAATTTGTTTTACAAATGCGAGCGATTTATAACAGTATTTGTTACCAAAATATATTATTTCGATTACTATTTAAATAGATTAAGTATACAATAAATTAAATAGTAATATAGTATATAGTATTATATTGACCACACAATAAATTGGGATTATAATCTTTAGAATCCTGGTTGTGCAAATTAGGTGCATTTTTTATCACAATTCATTTATGAAGAATGTGGTTTATAGAATCGTGGATATACCATTTATTTAAATAAATAAAAATATTAAACAATAGTTTATATTTAAAATCAAATTGGTATAAAAACAAAACAAAAACTTAAATATTGATTGCTTTCACACTTCTATAGCAAATATAGACGACTTGAGGTTTTGAGAAACTCTGCGTTTTATTAAAAATCATTTGAAGGGTAAACAAAAAGTTTTGACAAAATTTTGGTCATAAAATGTAATGATATTTGACTGAAGACGGAGAGGAAGGCTGTATTTGTTGGAAGAGGAGAGTAATGGCAGAGCTATTACTCAAATATATGTGTGTTCTGTAGAGTAATTCAGTAATTGAGTTAATGATCCGTTATTTCTAAAGACCCAAAAACTCTGCCCTATATTTTCAGTCAAAGAATATTCTTGTACTTAAACTTCATATTTATTTTTCTGGATTCACGCATTTATTTGATATGTTATATAACTTATATATATGTATGCATTTGGCCAACAGTTCCGCCACACTGGAGCCTCGCTATCTCCCGCCCGATCTCTCGGACCGGCACTAATCAAAGGCATTTGGCACTACCATTGGGTATGCAATCTATATTGAAACCATACAAACGATGGCTTCAATAAAGTAAATGTTAATCAATTATGTTTTTGTTTGTGTTTGTGTACAACAGATCTATTGGGTCGCACCTCTCATCTCAGGGATGTTAAGCGGCTTTACCTACGAATACATCCGAAGCACATCTTCTAATGAGTGTCAGTCTCTGAAGCGATCGTTTAGACGCCGAACCTCTCAGGGAGTGAAAAGAGATCAGAGCTCTAATCTCAGTAATTATGAAACAGAATTCACCATCACTTCCACTGAATGTCCCCGATATTGACAGCCCATGTCATTCATTATTCAAGTAATACTTTTGCCAAATGTTTGCTACTTTTGGTTTGACTACCATTTAATCGATCGTTAAGTTGATCTACAATTTGAGTGAAATGTCAACAAATTATATTAATTTGTTTATACAAACCGTATAATTGTTAGGTTTTACTATTATATATATTTCATATTATATGTGAATAGAAAGTGTTATTTCGTTAAACAATTTGTTTGCTCATTGAAAATATGTATTTTTGAATGCATTTTACATCAAACATGTATTTCATCCAAATATCACTTAACGATACATTTAAA